ATTCTTCTCACAAGGCCACAGCCCGTGGAGGATATCATTAGTTTTTTGGATGAATCTTGGTTTATACCAAACTGCCTCCTATGTAATAAAAGATTTTCAGTAGAGAAAAGTTCACTTCTCCAACAGGAGACTTTCTTTCTTTTTTACGAATAAGTATACACAAGATGCCGAGAAAACAACCTATTTCCAGCATTGGATCAGTGTTAATGACTGTTGGATGTCAGGTGGAGTGCTAAGTCCAAGGGACATGCAATTCTTTAAAATCCTCATGTCACTTACAGACAGGCAGTGAAGGGAGAAATAAGTACAATTTACTGTGAGTGGTTCGACAGAAATAAGCAACGAGCTGTGTGAGAAATAGTGGGAAAGACCTATTTTAGATAAAATCTTTCTCAGGTGCTGACATTTAAAAATACTGATGTCTACAGGATAAGAATCTGCTTGCTCTCCCAAGGGAAAGAATGAACAGCAAATATAAGGCCCAGAGGTAGGAAAGAACCGACAGAGCCATTATGGCAGCATCCTGAGTCCATGAGGAGGAGAAGAGAAGGCTGGCGGCAGAAGTGGGACCTAGAAAAGCAGGGTCTTCACAGCCAGGGTGAGGGGTTTGCTCTGTGTGGGCACATTGCCTCCCAGTTCATGGTGACCCAGGGTCCCTCTGGCAGCGTGGGAACCCATCAGGCTGCCATTGTGGTGGTCCAGGCATGCTTAGATGGTTTTGTGGTCTGAAGTGGAAAGAAGTGGATGCACGTGAGATACCGGCGTCATATTTTTACGTTCCTAGACGCATTTTACAAATGGAAAAACAGATTCAGATGGCCAGCAATTTCCCACCTCTCATGCGTAATAGCTGAGAGGACGTGCCCCCTGATCTGGTGGTTTTCAAAGTGCATGTGTTTGCTTGCTATTCGAGACCTTCCCTTTGAGCCAACCAATTCCTGTTATTGCATGAAGATGTATAGCAATTTTTATTTACATTTACAAATGGTTTTTTTTTTCCTACCTTAAACATTTTATGTTGAAAAAAGCCTCAGAAGTTAATCACCTCTTTATCGGTGAAGGAATTTCTTCTCTAAAACTTTGGACAGGTGCCTGATCTCTTGTGATTTCAGTTCATCACATAATGTATACCAGCTTTCCCCTGCAATTCTTTCTTAAAAATTGCTCAGAAGTATTCTCCAATTATCTTTCATTTTGAATTTCAGCATCTTTGATCATGCTTTCAAAAACATAATGGTGTTGGGTATGTTGGCCACTTGGATTCTCATGTCTGTGTTCTCACTCCACTTTTATTGGTGGAAGTTGGCTTTTTATATGAAGGCGTTTGTAATTTTTCCACAGGTTCATTAAATATATCTAAGCACTCAGAGCAAGGTCCTTAATTCATATTAAATACTCAGTGAGTATTTGTTAATGAATGAGTTAATCTTTTAAGATTTGTGAGTGGGCATTCATACACATCACGTTATATAAACTGTATGCGGTGTACTGATGAGGCTGCGGTAAGATCACAGAGCTGAAGGATGACAGCGATCACAGAATTGAGATTTTGAATCTGTCCCGTTGGTGTTCCACACTTACGACTCAGTCCCTCCCACTGGCATCCTAATAATCCACTGAGGATCAGCTTCGAAATTCCCATCCTGTGTTATGTACCCACACTTTTGTCTCCTTGTTTTGCATTCTGATCTGGTCCCTTTGTTGCCAGGTCTATATAGCTGGTTTTGTGATAGTTCTTCTGCATTAAGACCTTAAGATTTTCCTCAGGCCTCATACATTGATCTCTGTCTTCAGATCAGCTCTTGCTTCCCTCCCATCGTCAACCCTCAACACCCCCCAAATCTTACCTCCTTTCTGGATTTTTTTCTAAATAGTAACACAGTAAGTTGATCGTATTCCTTGTCGCCCACCCTTCCATACCCCCAAGTACACACATGTCATTCCTCTTCTTCACTATGCAGTATTCCCTTGGTTACTCTCTCCTCGTACATGCATGGCTTTTGGCTCTTAGCATGAGTGGCTGGTAATGATGAATCACAGGCTCACATGGGATATGGAAGGGTTTTGTGGGCCTGTTTCCCTCCGCACCCTTCACTAAGCTAGTACTGACCTCCCAGGTTGGTGAGCGACAGGACCTTTCCCCTCACGCAGTTCACTAGGTAACTCGTGATAAGTATCGTTGAGACCATTTTTCACACAAGAGGGTAGCAAGAACCAGGAGTTTGGTAAAACTAGCATGCCAGGAAGAAGAGGGTCAGAATCTAGGATTAACTGCTGATTTAAACTGATTTCAGTGCCAGGGGCCATTTCTTTATAATTTGGGGTACTGGCTGCTCATGTCACTGATGATATATTGAGAGCACACTTTGTAGCTAGTAGTTCAGAGCATCAGATAAGTGGTTAAAAGATTTGCAACCATGTTTCATGTGCACAAAATGGAAGTGTTTGTAGAAGAGGACCACCCCCACCTCCCCTGCCCCATTCATGAAGTTTGGGCAGGCCACGTGGCCTCATTCCGGAAAGCTCAAGAGTAGCAGCTTGCCATTAACTTCATTGTTATTTTCCAGAGAAATATACATCATTGGAAAAGTTTGCTTTGCTCTAAGACATTTCCACATTGTATCCAAAGATAAGGAGGCTGAGAATTAAGACAGCTACACCATCTGCTCAGTTACAATCCGATTCCCTGAAATGAGTTTGACTCAAATGTTGGCTTTTATGTCCGGATGGTGGGTTTTTGCTTCCTTTTGTTCAGCCTCGGAACGCTGGCTGGATCTCCTGAGACAGTTGCAGAGGAAGTAAATACGGGCAATGGCTGGGAAGGCTGGGTGTAACCATGAGCTGTATTATTAGGATGTTCGGATATAAACCGGAGCAGAAACACTGCCAAAAACAAAAGGCAGCTCCCTGTGCACTGAAAGTATGTACAAGTCTATTTTCAGACTGATGGGAACACAGTGTGGGTGTGGTTTATGTAATCATAAGGGGTCCCAGGGAATGAAATATCGGGGCCAGGGGTGGGGGGGGCTGGCATTTCTTCTGAAGTAGCTTCTCTCATCCCATGTGGCATACGCACTGCACCTCGCCAGAACTGGGGATGTGGAATACCTGCCGTGCCCGTGAACTGTTTGTCACGGAGATCACGGGGATGCCGTGACCAAAAGACTCACTTTGTTTTTCGGCTCAAGATTCATGAATGTGGTCAGAGCCAGAAAGTCTGTTTTGGTAACTTATCCTTCCAAAAGATGTGCATATTTAATGGCAGAGTTTCTGTTTTCCTCATTTTGAGCTACTTGTTACACAAAATGTGTGAATCATCTTGAACTATTCTCTCCCTTACCCATTCAGTTATTTGCTGATCCTGTATTCGACTAATACAGACTCTGTCCGGGAAATCGGGGTAGAGGGGCTTGTAATTATCATCCCCATTTTCCTCTTAAAACTCAAGTTATTAGCAGTATCGACACTTGTCTCTTCCTCTTTTGTCTCTTAATCCTAATTTGGTGATGAGAATCTTTTGCCAAGCCTGGTCTCAGAGCTGGCTAAGGAGCATGTTGATAGTACAAAGAACCCTCTTCTTTATTAATGTAAACGCCTCAGTCTTAGGGGTCATTTTTTTGGGAGAAGAGAGAGTAACCTGAGAGCACTACCTCCCTACACACCCCCCACCCACCCCGGCTCCAGAAACATCTAAGGAAAAGGTCTCTAGTTTGGGTTAGAATGATAGGCAGTAAAGTTGTTCATGATATTCCTGTGTTATCTCTTCAGTGTCTATGGGATCTATAATAATGCCCCCCTTTAATTTCTGATACTGATAATTTATAACTTTTCTTCTTGGTCAGTCTAGCTGGAGTTTTACTGATATCATTGATCTTTTGAAGGAAACCACATTTTGATTTCATTGTTTCTCTGTTTTCCATTGCATAGATTTCTGCTGTTTGTATTCTTCTTAAATCCTGTTTGCCTCTGGTTACTCACCTTTTTCTAGTTCCTTTTTTTTAAAGATTTTATTTAGTTTTAGAGAGAGGGGAAGGGAGTGAGAAAGAGAGGGAGAGAAACATCAGTTGGCTACCTCTTGTACATGCCCTGACTGGTGGTCAAACCCACAAACCCAGGCATGTGTCCTGACCGGGGATTGAACCAGTGACCTTTTGCTTTTCGGGAGGACGCCCATCCAACTGAGCCACACTGGTCAGGGCTCTAGTTTTTTAACGTGGTAATTGATATTATCGATTTGAGTGTTTTTTTCCTAATATATGCATTTAATATTATAAATTTTGCTCTAAGCACTGTTTTAGCCGTATCTCAAATTTTATAGGTGTTTTATTTTTATTCAGTTCAAAATATTTTTCTAATATTTAACTAATATCCGATGTTTCCTTAAGATTTCTTCTTTGATCATGGAATTTTTGGAAGTTTTTAAAAAACTTTTAAATATTTGGCCTTTTTTTAAGATATCTTTTTAATTTTGATTTCTAAATTTAGTACTGTTTAAACTAAAGATCATGCTTTGTATGCTTTTAATCCTCAAACCTGAGACGAATTTTATGCCATAGAATATGGTCTGTGTTTCATGTGTTTTTGAAAAGAAGGTTTATTCTGCTGTTTTGGGGTAGAATGTTCTGTATGTGTTTGTTGCGTCAAATTGGCTGACAGTGTTTTTCAAGTTTTCTATATTATTTCTGATTTTGTGTCTTATTTGTTCTATCAATTACTGAGAGGTTATCAAAAACCTCTAGTGATAATTTAAAAAATTATATTAAATGCAATAAAAATTCCTTTTATATTCCTATCTTTTATCGAGTCTCCTAAAAGCATTGTCAGTTACCTTCATTTAATTGCAAAAAGGTATTTTTTTTCTTAAAATAATTTTACCCACTTTTCAGTAAAACTTTAAAGAAAAAAATGGACTGATGGTATAGTAGATACACTTGCAGCGGCTGGAAGGTCATCCCACGTTACTTCTCTGTCTGACACCGTCTGTTTCTCTCTGTCCTCAGATAAACCGAGAAAGCTGGTGCACAGTAGAGCCCTGTGCGGATGCGCCGTCTCTCTTGGCTCCCACGCAGAGCCCAGGTAAGCGGGGTGTGCCCACGTCCAGTTCGCCCAAACACCTGTGCCCAGGACATCTCTGTTCTAGAGCCGAAGCCCCACTGTCATAGCAGGACTGGCGGGTGTGGGGGTCTGTCCTTCTCAGCGTGACATGCGGTAAGTAAAGCAGAGGGAGGGTGTGTGTGGTTCGGGTTTGTAGGTGCTCTGTCTCACGGTGGACGACAGTGAGCACATGTAATTACCTAGATTAGCAGGAATTCCTCACATGGGACTTTGTGATCTATTAATTCATCTGTGAAGGCGTCTGTGCATGTACATACGATAACATTGTCTTCATCTGGTAAAACTATAAATACATACTTTTAAGGACTAATCTGTGGCTCTTCATTTTGGCTGCATGTTGAAAGTATCTCAGCAGAGTTGGGCAGTGGGGGGGAAGGACCAAAAGGTGAAGGGGAATTCAGAGGTACAAACTCAGAGCTGTGACATAAGTCAGTCATGGGGATGCTGTGCACAGCACAGGGAATACGGTCACTACTATCGCAGTAACTCTGGTTACTGGGCTTCTCGTGGTGGTTCTTTCGCAAGGTCTATAAATATCAAATCACTGTACGTTGAAACTAACATAATATTTTATATCAAATATAATTAAAAAGAGCTTTACATTCCAGAATGAAAGTTTTTTAAGAAACGTGTCTTGGGAGTGTTAAGATACACTGATGCCTGGGTCCTGCCCCCAGAGATCCTGATGTAATTGGGCTGGGGGTGTGGCCCTGATGTCAAGCTCTTTAAAGGCTCTTTTGGTTCCTCCCTGTGCAGTCAAGCCATTAAGAACCACAAGCTTTGGGAGGATGGTCAGGAGTTGAGTCTTTCCCTAAGTGCCCACGAGGTCTTAGTAACAACAGATGAGGTTAAATGCTCTTCAGACCTTACCTGGTAGTAACACAGCACGTGGCTAGTGGTGAGTTAGGTGTCCCAGCTGTCTACGAGGTTTAGTCACTAATTCACTGTGACAAAGCCGTGGTCCCTCGTGTCTTTGTGCTCTGCTGTCTCTGATCTCCAAAGCTTTTCTCACTGGTGGGTGTCGCCTGCATGCCTCGGTGAGTAACTGTGAGTCCCACTGCCTGTCCCTGCAGCTGCCGTGGGAACACCATCTGTCCGAATTCTGGGCTCTTACGTCCACCCCCCCCCCCAACAAAAACACCTTCTGTTCACCTTCCCAAATTTATCTGCTTTAGAATTGATTACTGAGTCCTCCTTCACTGGTCTTTCTGGAAGTAGTTTAGCTGTGACTCTGCTGCAGTAGCATGAAATTGAAAGACAAACTTCAGGGCCTCTCGCTCCAGATTGGTTTCTTACTGATTCTCAGCTCTCTGAGTTTACTCTGTCGGAAGTGCCAGAAACAAATTTCTCTCTGCTTCTGGCACACGTGGAGGACGTGGTTAAAGGTCATGAACATGCGGTAGTTTTGTTTAGGATCTCCACATATTACGAGACCCTAAACTCTCCATACCTGCCCCCAGATTTGGCTGACACTCCCCTCATGCAGCCCCCTGCAATCTTTTACTTTAAAATACTTATTTTATTCCTTAAGCTGGGGCTTTTTCTAAAAGTCTGGTTACTCCTAACCTCCCAGGCAGTGGCACTCTCTGCTCTGTGAGGTTGAGTGGGGTTGCTTCACCATTTAAATGCTCACAGGATGTTTCTCCACTTGGTGCCGTTTAATTTACTCATGAAATAAGTGAATTTTTGAGCCTCTGAGCCTTTCCCCAGGGCATAACCTTGAACTGTGTTGACCCCCTCCATACCCCAACCCCAAACATAACCCCTTTGGCAGTTTTAGAGCGATTCTTTCTGACCTTCCTTCCATTTAACAAAACCCAATATCTGGGTTATGCTTCTGAACTTCAGACGGGAGGTTTTTTATTTCAGGCATTGTTTTTTGTGAATTCTAGACAGGTTTCCTTCTTTTACTTCTGGAACACAGCTTAGAACAGCAATAGTGTTAGGCCCCATGAAAAAATGTCTTTTAAAACTACTTTGTATATTTTTAAGTTCTGGATAGATAAGTACAAGATTACATTATGATTAGCAGGGTTCAGCAAAGCCAGAGAGTGGTGCCGGTATGTTCCTGCCCTTCCCCAACTACAGTCTGTTTGCGCACATGTAATTTTATACCTAAATGACTAGATAGCATCTTTAAAAGTACACGTTTTGCTAGCTGTTAAAAAACTAATGGCTCAGGTCACAAAAGTTCCTGGCACTTACTTATGGGTCATAAAACAGGCCTGGCACACCTCAAGGTAACGTCCTGACTGGTGACTGGTGGAAGCGCATGGCAGGGGTTAATGAAGCCTTAATATCGTTAGGCGTGCTTATCACACGCCTGCTCTGTGCTGAGGGGCAGGGTTCTGGTGCTGTCTGTGCAGATTCTTTCTGACTGTCACTGTGACTATTTTAGGGAGGTGCTCGTCCCCTCATTTCACAGGTATGGACATGGGTTGGAGACTTTGAGGGGTAAACATTACTTCTTCCCTGGGATGTTTCTGCTAATAAGTCATGACAGAGTTAAGTCACGGCAGTCTTAAGTCTGAGGCCAGTGCCCAGCCTTCACTGTACCTTCATGTGCTGTTGTTCTCTTTTATTCATCGGAAAGAAAGGAAAGATTTTATTTATTTTTAAAACTTACCAACACATGCGAGCTGGTGTATAGGCTAGCTTTGTCTTTGCCCTCCCCCAACCCCATTTGTGGGGGTTCAAAATGGTTTAAAGCCCCTCACTTTCCCTTTCTCCTTGTTTCCATGATCTCTTCCTCCCCGTCTCAACAAAGACCTTCCTATCACGCAGCAGCCCCTTATCCCGCACTCGGTTGGTGGACCCTGTGGTCCTTGGACTTCTTTTCTGGGTGAGGTGTTCCTATGAGGGTGAGTCTGGATCTGCCCCGTGAATTTTCCATTCGAATGTCTTCAGCTGGTGTGTTTTCCCGTCGGAATCTGGATGTGGTCTGTCGGCCTGCCAGCTGGCCTGCCGGGGCTCGGCACAGTTGCTGCGACAGCCTTTTCTTTCCTTGGCCAGCCCCCTATTTTCCCCTCAGCCACAGAGTGGAGTTTTTGGTTTTTCCGAGTGCGGAAGAAGTAGAAAGCTCACATGCACCAGCCCCACCTGAGGTAGTGCGTACTCTGAAATGTGTGTGGGGGAAGACACTCTGAATGCCCACGATTTCCAGTCGGAAAAGCCAGGGCTGTTCCCACAGAAACAGCACACTCAGACACACTCTGGACACCAAGATTAGAATGAACTAATATCATTTTTTTCTTTATCCAAAACATTTTCAGATCAATCTGTGGGCCCAGCTTTACCTCCCTTGGCATCCCCTGTGTATTTCTGTGTTAAAATTACCTCTTACTATGTTCATTTCCACTACAAGATTGTAATACCGCCCCACACCCCCCACTAAACCCCTCTTTTCTTGGACATTCCTGATACATAGTCAAATGCCTAACTAATAGAAACGGTAATTTTGTTGCCAGGCGATTCATGACCTCTCCCAATATGGTGCCTTGTTGATCCTTCCTTTAAGATCCAGAGCAAATAATTTACTAATGATCAACTGTTACTTAATTAAGTAAGAACAGCTTCCTCTTCTCCTTAGCGTGTGCGTGTGTGCATATACTTATTGTCCTCACATGCCCTCCAAGAATTAAGAGAGACACTGGGGGCAGTCTAGTCCAATCCGCACTTCCCTTCTCCACAGAAGGAAACCTCTTGCCACAGTTTTTGAGCCTTTGCTTCAGACCCTCTGGTACAGCGACACTCGTGACTTTACGAGGCCCAACCCCTTGCCCAGCGGCAGGGTCACAGTGAGGCCCTGCGCCTTCCGATCTGCGGGATCTGTTCTGCCTGAGGAGCCGCAGCAGCGTCCTCAGGCACGTTTTCTTCCCGCTCCTCTAGCAGCGGGTGAACGGGTTTCGTGTTTGCACTGCTGTGACCTCATTCCCCCACGCGTGCACTTCTGTTTGTGTTGTAATTTAAGCGTTGGTTAGGAACGAGCCCAGTTCTGTGGGTATAGTGCAGCCATCACACGGTGGCAGACCTTCCCTCATGTTGGATTTGGGTCTGTGGACGGAGCCTAAAAGGATGAGTGTTGGTTGTTTGCCATCACCTCACATGGCCCGCTGGGTGGCCGGGTGATCTCCCCTGCGCCCCCTCACAGCATCACCGACAGTTTCGATGAACACACATGTATGTGTCTGTCCAAAGCACACATAAAAACGCCAACTAGATGATGTTTTGCTTTTCAAAACTTCTTGAAGGAGGTTGCTATCTGCCCACTTCTGACTTTCTTTGGGTTTTTGGTTTCATCCTGTACAAGCGATCGTGGCTCTGGTGCTGGCAGGTCCACATGTCCGTTCGTTTACAAAGGTCATAGGCGAGAATGGGTTAAATACCTTGCTGATTTTAATATAGTAAGTCTTTAGAGTTCTCGGGTGCACCAGTGTAGCATTTCTGTTGGAGCCCCTCTGTCTGGCACTCCAGTCCCTGTCCTAGTTACTGAACTGAAAACAGAAGCTGGATGACACATTTTCTTCTTCAGCCAATTATTCCCCACTGTCAGATCTCTTTCAGTACAAGAAATCAAGTAATTACATTTCTGTTCTTCCTCATTCAGACCCATAGTTTAATACACTGATCTGTTTATTAGATATGCTTCCCCTGTTTTATCTCAGTATTTTGATAAAGTAACAAGTTTCCAGAAACAACTCAAAACAAATTGGCCACAAACCCTGTCACATAGTTTCCAAATTTTGATACCCAAAGAAATAAAAACCTGTTAACTACCAGGAGGGAAAGATTTCCACTTGAGTACCTAATTGTAGCTAGATCTGTGGTTCTAAATCAGTCTGTCTTTTTGTGCCTGTCATTTACATGATGACAGACTCCTGGTTGTTGTGTCGTAATGGTATCGACTTATAATCGGAGTTTCCAGAGTCGAAAGCTGCTCATTTGATTGTGTCCTTTACAGCTTCTTAGCATAGAAAGGGTGTGGGAGGAAGGTCCGTTAGTAGATTTAAAAGGCTGATGGCTGGAATGAAAAGAAACTGATTTTTTTTTTTTTAATGAATAAAAAAATTTTTTCTTTCAGAGTGTGAGAACTTCCTGGATGTTGAGCTGGGCAGGGAGTGCGCCCCCAAACAAGGCGCACTTCAAAGAGAATCTGGGAGTGATTCTGACCTCTTCCACTCGCCCACTGAAGAGGTGGACAACATCGTCTTCTCCAAGGTACTTACGTCTGCCACTCCTGCCAGGAGTCGTCATCCTTCCCACCTTACAGGGCTTCTCTCTGGCCCTTAGCTGATCTGAGGGAAGCGTAAAAGCTCCCCTTCAGAGCAGGATGCTCCAGGTTTCCAGGGGGCTTAGAAACAGGCATTAGCCTTTATTTTTTGCAGAATCATGGCTGGTTACTTGCAAGTTTTGCTGCTCAGTTTGAAGACTAAAGAAGTGGAAGTGAATTAAATCAGATGACAATGAGTGCTTTTCAGTGGGCAGGAAGGATCATGGCTGAGACTGGATGATGTCATGTGTATAAACTAACCACAGAGTCATTTCTGATTAATGTGTTTAGGCCTGAAGCTCACTGTTGAGCTTGGTGATGTCACGCTGCTTAATTGGAACATTCTAGATCTCTGCTAGGGAACCCAAGCTTTCTTGCCAGTGAAAGGCCAAATACTTCCACATGAATCACCTCGTGTGTTTCGTATAATTTGAGGCCCAGGAAGAGGCCAGGACATGGGGATGGTGTGCTCATGTTTGCACCCAGTTGCAGGGAATTCTGCTTTGTTTCCTAAGGAAACTAGAAGGCTTTCCCACCACAGGGTCAGAGTAATACTCAGGTCTTCGCCACAGGTGGGCGTCTTAGTAGGAGGGGGCAGGGGCAGATGCCTTGTGGCAGCTGGGGAGCAGCTGTGTTCAGTGGATGATGCCATTTTCCGAGGATCATGTGATGATGCTGTGTTGCAAAGTCATGATAGAAGGTGGAGGCTTAAGGTTCTGGTCCAGAACGTGTTTAAGTCTCTGTGAATGTACCTTCAAACACTTTTTCGTCTTGGCGGCTCTCGTGTGTCCATTTGGCCTTCCCCAGCCCTTCTCCACCTTGTTCCTCTTCCTTGTGCTCATTATCTTCTGGAGGCCCCTGGAGAGATTACGGCATCAGGATTCTGGTCACCGTCACACATCAGGACTGTGGACCTGTTGACTCAAGGGATTCCATAAAGTAAAAAATCCACACGCCGGAAAGGTGTGTCCTTCTCTGAAGTTATTAGGAAGAGGGAAAGCAGTCGGATTTTTTTTTTTTTTTAAGTAACAGAACTTGGGTAATTACCACTGTGATTTTGAGGTTTTCATTTGTGAAGACTTCTGAAATCTTCCTGCACCCCCACCACCCCTAGGGGAATACCATTCTGCAGAGGTTCAGCTCTGAAAGTAAATCAGTTTTGTCTGAGATAAATAGGTTAGATATTATCTGTGAGTGCCTGCTTTAAGTTTGAGTCATCGGTGTCATGGATACCTCCGTAATGTTTTGGTAAACATTTCTGTATGTTTGAAAATTTTCATAGTAAAAAGCTTTTGAAAAATGGAGAAGTCTTCCTTAAGAAGTGCTGGCTACCCCCTGGTGCGTGCATGGTGCCTTGTCTCGGGGTGGTCTCTTTGCAGGGTGACAGCTGTGTCTGCCCACCAGACGGAATGAGTTTCCCAGCTCTGCAGAGTCAGAATTTGCTCTCCTTTACCTGCTTGTTCAGACTGCCGAGAGCATTCACAAGATTGTTCAGATCGGTGGCCAGTTAGCAAATTTTTTTCCTTGGGATGACTAGTACAATTTTTTTACTCCCCAGATTAAGTCTTACCTACGCGTCACAGCAGCCTGCTTCAGGAAAAGCGGAAACAGTGGTGCCCTTCCACCTTGTTGTGCCCTCATCAGAATGTCTGCTGGTCTCTCGGAGGGAGACCTGGAGGGTTCTTCTCTCTCAAAGTTGGTGGCCAGTAGAGCTTTTGCAATAAATGTTTTCTCTGGCATTATCAAAACCAAGGGTTTATGTACAAAAGGGAATAAGAGAGAGACGGACTGATACTTATTTCCAGAGCACTTACTATATACTGGGCACTGACCTGAGTTTTCTACATGTGTGATCTCATATATGATCATGGCAACCTTGTAAGGTGGGTGTTCCTGTCCCCATGACACTCCTGAGGAAATAGAGGAAACCTGTTCATTCGCTGTGGTTTCGCCTTCAGTCTCCCCACACCGGCTTTAGTAGCCAGTGATTTATGTAGAAGTGGCAGGCGGACCATCAGCACCTTCCTCAGAAGTCTTGCTCACTGGTCATCCACATGTGCGCTCTGCCACATCAGCCTGTCCCCGAGTTTCAGGCTCCAGCCCTCTCATCCCTTCTCTGAAATACAGTCTGTGGGAAAGCCACTGCAGCGTGGGTGGTGCGTTGGGTCACCTCCTGCTGCCGTCGGTGGGACTGGCTCCCCAGTGTCCCTGTAAAACAGCCTGCAGGTCCTGAACTGTGTGCCTTAACCTGATATTTTCATTCGTCCTCTGTCCTGGTAAACTCTATGACTTTCTGCTGAGTGTTAATGAGCTTCATGTTTATTCCTATGGATATTGGCTGGTTTCTGAGATTGCAGTGATAAAATTGAGATTTTTTTTTTTTAAAGCGAAAAGAGAGCCTGAGATTCTCTGGTCAGTAAGAAAGTATGATCATAAAATACATGTCCTGGGCCACCCTGTTTTCCAAAAGGCTAAGTGAAGCCCATAGAAAATACTAGTAGGTGCTGCCTCTTTCCCCAGAGGTAGAAGAAAGGCCGTGGTCACCCTTTTGCCCTGTATAGTGAGAGTACCTGAGATGCACTGTCAGGACATTCCCGGTCTGTGGCGTTATCAGTAACCAGAGCCACTGTGCTGTGCGTTATGTCTCCAGAACTTACTCATCTCAGAACTGAAAGTCTCTTCCCTTTGACTGACATCTCCCCGCTTCCCCCGCCCTCCAGCCACCATTCTGCCCACTGTTGCTATGAGTTTGACGTTTTTAGATTCCACATATAGGGAGGATCATGTGCATTTGTCTTTCTGTGTCTAGCTTCTTTCACTTGGCACGATGCCCTCCAGGGCCATCCAGGTTACTGCCAGGGGCAGAATTTTCTTCTTTTTTGAAGGCTGACTAATATTTTCTTTATCTAGTCATCTGTAGATGGATATTGAGGATGTTCTTGTAGCTCGGCTACCGTGAGTAATGCTCTGAGCATGGGAGGGCAGGTGTCTCTCTTGGGTTGTATATCCAGAGTCAGGTGTGTAGAGACACACACACTTCTAGTGTTGAAGCAGAGGGCCCTTCGTTAGAGTTCCTGGTACTGACTGGAGGCGCTGTCCTGAACTGGGTATTTTTCCCTTCGTAAGAAAAGGAACATTAATGTACTCCCGGCTGTCGGCTCGGTCAGGCATAACGGGGGTGCTCTGCCTGGTCCTGCTTTCCAACCAGCTGTGCTTTCTCCCCACGACAGCCCGAGGAGGAGCAGTCGGTCTGCGACATCACCGGATCCAGTTCTTCCACTGATGACACAGCGTCCCTGGACCGACATTCGTCTCACGGCAGTGATGTGTCCCTCCCCCAGATATCGAGTGTGAACAGGGCCAGGGACCAGCAGTCTCTCGATGGCTTCTCCGGCCCTGGGGTGGGGGTCGAGGGCCGAGAGAGTGAGAGTGAACCCACTGGCTCAGGTGAGATGGAGGAGGAGGAGATGGACAGCATCACCGAGGTGCCCGCCAACTGCTCTGTGCTGAGGAGCTCCATGCGCTCTCTGTCCCCTTTCCGGAGGCACAGCTGGGGGCCCGGCAAGAACGCAGCCAGCGATGGTGAAATGAACCACCGAAGGTGAGACGCCAGGCTGCGTGTTTACCCCTGTGTCTGCTTGTTCTTGAGAAGCGTCTGGTTTGGGACTGTTGTTGGTGGCAGATTTGAGGAGGCATTGTGGTGTAGAAGAACACCATAGCCCTTGGAATCAGGAAGGCCACTGTTCAGACTCCAGCTCTAGACCTGCCTTCATAGATATCCTTGGGCAGATTACTTGACCCGACTGAGCTTTAATTTTCTCATCTGTAAAACACCTGCCATTCTGAGTATTTGTAATAAATATTACAAGTAAAATATGTCTGTCAGATAGCAGGTATTTAATAAGTGGTAATGTGTATTCAGGCTAGGTTTGTTAATGAAATTTATAGATTACAAAATATTGGAGAGAATAATTTGTCAGTTTTAAATTAAAAATAAACACGAAAGCGTATGGTTTGAACACATTTAAGTTTTAAAAGTGCTTCATGGGAATTGCCATATGTTTCTAATGCAGAAAGTTTTGACAAAGCCAAGATTATGAGTATGTCCTCAACAGATTATCAGTATCACTGAATATCATTAGGTTATTGTGCTTTTCCATGTGTCGTCCAGTCTTTGGGGACTTCCTGAGTGTGACCCAGCCATAGACCTCCTGACCTTCAGTTTGGAAGCAGTCTGTGGGAGATAGGTGGGATTTGGAATCTCAACATTGGCTGCCTGGGTGAATTTAAGCACATGGTTTTAGCTCTGAAGAGCGCATGCCATGGTGCCTGCTGGGTGTGCAGAGGTGTGCTTACCCCAGAGTCTCTCTTAAATGGGGAAAGCAGCTAGTGAGGGGGAGGCGGACACTCATTTTCAAACACTTCACATGAATCGTATCACTGTAGTAATTATTGCCTCATAAAAATTTTTTTTGACCTCTTTACAATATTTTGGCTCTGATCCTATAACTATACGTATATGTAATCTGATGATATTACTCATTCTTTTACTCAGCCAGCATATACTGTGCCTGCTCCGCATGCCGGGCATTCCTCTGTTCTGGATACACAGAAGGGCACGAGACCGAATTCCTGCTTTCATGGAGCTCACAGGAATGCCTTTCCCTTTCCTAGTGGCTGTTCTTCTTGGACGCCTTTAATAACAAGGAACGTTATCCCTTGTTACCTCATGCATGTTGTTTCACCCCATTTTTGCAGGTGGGACTGGGGCACATAGTTTGTCACACTTTCCCGAGGTCAGTAGGACCCTGCTTTCTGGTCAGCAGGTCAAGTGCTCTTTCTGTGATTCCATGTTGATTACTCGTTCTTGGGTGGAATTCAGAATGCTTACCTTAAAAAGCAGGGCTTGCTTTATCTGCTGGGAAGTTTTTGTTTACATTTGACCACCTCATTATATAAAGAAGTAATGTCTAAAAGCTTTTTATTTTCAGCTTTATTCATGCTTTTTTTTTGGTCTTTAAAGCATTCACACCAATAGGGGAAAAAAGGATGGAGGGAATGGTCCTTACAGCGGGACATTCTTCCCTTAGGTGATAACAGTGTCAAGAAACACAGGTTTATTTTATATGTGAACCAGTTTTCTTTTTAACTCACCATGGGTCCCTTTGCCATGACTTTGATTTCAGAGCTAGATGGGATTTTATGGATCATTTTGCTCAGATGAGGATGTTGAAGCTCAGATTAAATGGTTTGCCCAAGACTTATTATATAGTGCTGTTTTGACTGCACTAAGACCAGAACCCTGTCATCTAAGTTGTTTATATTTTCCATTCACTACTGTCATGGATCCCCCTGTTGGAGCGTAGCATTGGGATTACCCCGCACCACTGCCACAATGCCTCTGCAGATAATGGGAGGAGAGTCAGCTACCACTTTAACTGGTTTGACTAACTCTTATAGCATTACTTGCGTAGGGTGTAAGCTGCAACTTCAAGTGCTAAGAAAACTCTTGGAAAGTTTCGAATGGTCTGCCTTTCTCCTTATCCGTGTACTTTGATAATTCAGTGAACCCAGTCCCTTGTCCTCTGAGTGATTGTATGACTTCTCTTCCAGGGGTTGTGTCTCTTCCTAGTGTGGTGTCTGCATGTGTCATGCGTTCATGTTCATCATGTTTCACCGCGACACTGACCTCTCCCACCATTCATTTTCAGTTCAATGCGCATTCTGGGGGATGTTGTCAGGAGGCCTCCCATTCATAGGAGAAGGTACAGAGTTCACTAACTTGTTGGACTAACCATGTTGCCTCTGAGCATATACTAACAAGCATCTCATTACTCTGCTTATTCCATGATTAAACAGCTGTTCTGAAAGAATGTTACATCTGCTTCGAGCAAATAGAATATAGGTGCTTAATTGTTGATTGTCCATTCCCTAGGAAATGGTTTCTGGAATTTGAGGTTTTGATAACAGGGTCTCCCCAACTTTCTCCAGAAGAATTTGAGGAAATGTTTACATGTGCCTCTATAATACTGTAGGGAGGACTTTTTCTCCCCCACCCCCACCCCCCCAAAAAAAAACTTGGGTCGAGAAGAAGCAGAAATACGTGTGCGCCTTGCACACGCAGGCCTTAAAATATTTTCGACGCATTCTTCAGTGATTCTATGGAAGTCTGTGTCCCTGGGCCACCCACTGTCCCCTTTCCCTGGGCAATGCGGTCGCTCCTCATCACAGCAAGACACACCCGCTGGCCTCTCAGGCCCTCTCACTGTTGGATTCCTTGACTGTTTTTTGTTAGGTAACATTTTGAAGCTGAAAATTAGTCATAAGCTGAAAAGTCATTTCTACTCAAAAAGCACCGATTTGCTCTAAATTTTTCAAAGGCCGAGTTCTGTTTTATTGTGCAGAAGGCTTTAGTGGCCTTTTCTGCCATTGCCTGGAAAAACATTTACCAATCCAGAAATGACTGTTAGATTTTGGTTAGCCTCTCCTAGGAGGAGACATTTATAAAGGGGTATTTTTAACATCAGCTGAAGGTGTTTGTTGAGAAGCAGGCAAGTGGTGATCTTTTCCACTGTGTCCTTTAAGTGGCTGCTTCCTTTAATTCCAGAGTTAAGTGCCTGGCTCTCTATTGAAGCTCTTTTAATATGAACTTATGGAAACCCTGCACTTAAAGACTCTGGAAGATGAGGAGCTTCTGGGTGCAGTCCAAGTTAACATATAGATACAGCCGTCCTAGCCACGTCAGCGGGAGTTTCAACCATAGTCGTATTCTGTAGGAAGAAGAGGAGACACACTTTTACATCTTGTATTAAGTCCTAACTAATAAAATTGAAACATTCCAATAAGTATTAAAAGGTGGAGGAGTATAGTTTTTTTTTTAATGTAGAATTTCCTAAATTTGAAAACAAAGCCAAAGAACCATGAAATGTGACCTGCCCCCCCCCCCCCCAGCTGAGGAACTGGGGACATTAGGGTGCTCTCAGAAATGCTCTTAGTTGTGGAAGACGTTTTCTGCTGCAAGGAAGGGCAGTGTTTCTGCTACTGTGGGACCGACTGCAGCTTCCTGGTTCTTGGAAAAGCAGCAGGTCCCTCTTCACGCCTTCCTGCTGCTTTTCAGTCTCTCCACTTGAAATTCCATCCCCGTCTGCCACATATTTTGGAGAGGAAAGGGACATTTAAATCGGAAGGAGATTTTTTAATATAACAAAATTATATATGTAACTTATAATTTGACAGTGTATATTCAGTTCCTGATTAACCATATTCTGCTTTTTAATGAGAATTTGGATGTTTAGGTATAATATGCATTTTTATTAACAATTTGGAGATTTACAGTTAATAATTTCATTTCATTTTTTATTTTTAAAGATTTTATTTATTTAGAGAGAGGGGAAAGTAGTGGTAGGGAGAAAGAAAGAAAGAGAGAAAGAGAGAAAGAGAAACATTGATTTCGTGCGCACCCCCAACCAGCCCCACAACCCAGAAACCCAGCCGTGTGCCCTGACTGGGAATTGAACCATCAACCTTTTGTTTGTGGGATGACACCCAGCCAACTGAGCCACACCTGCCAGGGCTGAGTTAATCATTTTAATGAATGGACTTGCGAGTCTTATGTGTGCTTGCTTGTAAATTATACCAAAGCTTACTTTTGAAAAGTCGGTCTGGTTCCCTTTGCAGACGTGAGACGTGCCTCAGCTGTGTTTTTCTGCTTTCTGCTGCTTCATTTCGGAGCTTTACACTACTTATTTAATCTGATTTAAAATGTTTTACAATTTAAAGTATGGTAAAATGATACTGAAGATTTACTTTTAGAAGAGTCATAGGAGTAGCTCTTAACAGTTATTCTCCCACCATTTTCCTTCATCTTGGAAACCCCTATTTGTTAACTAAAAAAATGTATTAGGTATCGAGTAGGTGCTCAGTTATCCATGGGGAATCTGTTCCAAGATCCCCAGTGGATGCCTAAAATCATGGATAGGGCCAAACCCTGTATACACTGTCTTTTTTCCTATATATATAAACCTGTGATAAAGTTTAACTTATAAATTAGGCACATTAAGAGACTAACAATAACCAATAATAAAATAGAACAGTGATAACAATATACTGCAGTGGAACTTACGTGAATGGCCTTGAAGCCATTATTAAGTAAAGTCAGGGTCACTCGAACACAAGCATTGCAATGGCTAGACAATCAATCGAATAATAACCAAGTCAGCTCCTAAGTGGTAGACTAATGGGCGGGGAGCGAGCCCAGTGTGGAGAAGCTGGACAAAGGCACGATGCACCTCTGGGTGTGATGGGGGAGATGTCATGCCACCACTCAGGCACATACTTTAAAACTTAGTTCTGGAATTTTCCATTTAATATTTTTAAACTTTGGGTAACCGAAACCTTAGAAAACAAAACTACGGATAAGGGGGAGCACTACTGCATTCACGATAGGGGGCTTTGGGTGTCTGCTGGACCTCCCAGTTCCGAGATTCAGCAGGAAGCTCTGGTTTCACCGCTGTCCCCCTTCTGGAAACAAAGGCCTGTCACTTAGAACTTTTAAGACCCAAACAGTAGCAGTGTATTTTTAAAGGGTAGCTTTTCTTAGTCAAAAGTCCTGACCTATTTTTTAAAAAGATTTTTTTGTAAAATTTATTTTATTTTTAAGCAGAGGGGAAGGGAGGGAGAAAGGGAGAAAAACATCAGTGTGGTTGCCTCTCGCGCGCTCCCTACTGGGGACCTGGCCCGCAACCCAGGCATGTGCCCTGACTGGAAATTGAACATGGAACCCTTTGGTTCGCAGGCCGGCACTCAATCCACTGAGCCACACCAGCCAGTGCCAAATCCTGATCTATTGATGTAGTTTCCTTTTCAGAGTGACTGATATTTGGAATTGGTTATTTTTGTCTGTTTATATTTCCTTGGCCCTTCCAACCCCAGATTTTCTGTACCTGCTGCTTGAGAATAAATATCAATGCTGAGACAGATAGTCAGAGAAGTAGATGAACAAATAGATGTTTAAATTTTTGTTTGAAAACTAAAACGACAAAGTTCTCAGTGTGGTAGAATTTCTTTAACAAAAAAAGAAAGAAACTCAATCCCTTTGTTATCATTAAAATGCCAGGAAATGTAACCGTTGTTGTATGGTTTATCTTAAGCATAAGAGCCTTAAGAGTAGGATTTGAAGATGGATGTGGTTCTTGACTGGACACCATTTTTATGGAGGTTGATGGATTGTCTGGCATGGACAGAGCCTTCCTGGAAACACATGACAAATGCTGATGACTCACTGAGCCTGCCACCAGTGTGGTGTGTCACCCTCCATTCCTTTTAGTTAAGCTGTAGAAGGTGAGGGAGGTGTGGAAGTGGTGGGAGGTGTAGGGGGGTAGGATTCATGGAAGGGTGGCCCCCAGTAACAGAGGTGGACACCTCCAGGAGGGGCCTGCAGAAGAGGCCATGTATAGGCAGGTTCTCGGTGCAGGGCTGTGTAGAAGGAACTGGGTTTCCAATCAGATTTGCTACCCCGTTAAGAGCTTACTTAGTTGTTTCCAACACATTGTGTAGATAGGCATCAGTAGAACAATTTTAAGATTCCATGGTATTTGTTCTTGCCTTTTTGTACATCAGTGTTGCATTTCTGGTTTTTTAATGTTCATATAAGTCCATCTGTCTCTAACTGTGCCCCTTTTCTTTTTAAACCCAATAACCCCATTCCTGTTTCCTCTTTTCTCCCTCCATTTCTGTTTCTGTCGTTGATGTCATCCCCAGTATGAGCTGGTGTCCCTCTGGTGTGCAATACTCTGCTGCCCTGAGTGCTGACTTTAATTACAGAAGGTATGATATTGTTCTGTGTTCAGCCGCCGGAGGGGAAGTCCTGACATAGGGCATGTGGGTTTTGGCTTGGAGCTGGCTTCTCTGTGGCTGGATTGCATATGGCGGCCTGCTTTGCGTGTGAGTGCGCTATCCCACTGCCTCTGCTGTTGGCGTTGCTGATCCAGTTGAAGGGGTGCCGTCGAGCGGTCTGGCGGTGTGCCCTGGCGCATCATCCTGTGTGTCTCAGGTGGCTGTAGACTGGGTGTTTTCTGCACGCTTATCTGAGTGGTAGGCTAGCCCACGCCTCCCTTTGTTTAGTCTGCCCTAATTCTGATCCTAGGGATTCCCCCGTCCTGAGCAGAACTTTGACAGAAGCGAGGCAGCTCCTTAGCTGCCCTTATTTCTGTTATGCTACCACATCCACCAATTGCTTCTGAGGCCAAATGCACAAACTCTTCATTTCACGTTCTTTTTCTACTAAGCAGCCAGATTTGATTACTAAAACATTTTGCAGAATTAAGTTTTGTGGAAAGCATACATGTAGTTTTCTTAGGTTTTACAGGTCATTCACAATAGAAAACAAAATTTCTCCTTCATTAGCTTATCTTCTTGTCTCTGGTATTAAAATGACTTTTACAGAGATGTTACTTATAGCTAGTCGTAATTTCTGTTCTCATTGAAATAAAAAAGAACCAAAATCCATTGTTTAATACAGTTTTAATTTATAGTAATTTGTGAAATTAAAAAAAAACGAGCCTTTTTAGACTAGTATTTGTGAATCGTTTGTAGGAATTAACTGTGCAGTTTGAGCAGAAATAAGTAAACAGCTTCAAACACAATTCAGCTGTTTGTAACTTGGGGGTGTGGTTGTCCACAGCTGTATTTTGGGGTCTTGCTTATTTTAAAGAACCTCCCCTGCAGTTGCAGCTGATGTAAGTCATTCTGTCTGGCAACCCCAAGAGGAACAGACGCTAACTTCTCTCTGTAGCCACCTGCTTATAGAAAAATGATTTTTACTCTGAAAACCACAAAATTCTTTATTCCAGGGATCCCATTTTGGATACTAAACCCTAAGATTCCCCTGCCACTTTGTCAGTATCAGGACAAAAAATTAAAACTCTTAGATTCAGTAGCTTTTCAGCTTTTGATCTTCGAGGTGTCCTGTGTGCCTGTCTGCAACTAACAGTTCTCAGGAAGCCTGGCGAGCCACCGTGGTCTGGGCAGGTGTGCACAGACGGTGGTGTTCACGGTAGCACTTGGGTTTTCTGGGCGGGTGCGTAGCTGTGAAGCTACAAAGCTCAACTAACCTGTTGTGGAACCTAAAGCTATAAAGGTCCACTTAATGGCCTTGAGGGCAAGGCCGAGTCTCCCCATTTGCCTTCTGAAAGTTACTTACACTCATATTTTCTCCACTCCATATAGTTATTTGGCATTAGCAGAATTAGATTTCGGCAAAAGGTCAGGGAAAACACATAAATAAAAGATGAATGAGATCATTTAGTCTGTCCATATGATATATTGGGGAAAAAAATGAAAAAATGACCTTAGATGATTCAACATTTGAACACGTTGAATTAGGTGAGAAAATCTCAGTGCAGCATTCTTTCCTAAGACCTGTGAGGGGTCGGGCAGGTGGTGCTCATTTGTGCTGTGCCTTTGCAGACAGCCTTTGCTGGGTGTGATAGAAATTGTAGACGTGCAAGAGAGACACCACTAAAGGGCTATTGCATCCTCCTTTCTTTCTGGGACTCAGAAAGAGAAGGCACTGACTCTCATGCTCTGTGTTCAGTTTCAGCCTAGAAGGCTTGGCAGGAGGAGATGGTGTTGGAAACAAACCATCCTCATCTCTGGAAGTCAGCTCTGTGAACACCCAGGAGCTCAGGCACCCTTTCAGCAGCGAGGAGCGGGGTGACTCTTTGGTGTCCCTTTCAGAAGAGGATCTGGAATCAGGCCAGAGAGAACATAGGATGTTTGGTCAGCAGGTAAGGCTGAAATGTGGACATGGAGCTAATTTGGAAAACCTTAATTTTATCTCCTTAAATATGTCCTCGTGTTAATATGAGACTACCAGCTATGATTACTTACTCATTACATAATCCACTCAGTCTAAGGCAAAATAAGTTTTTAGCACTTGATACTAATTAAAGAATATGGTGAATCTGCATTGATTTAAATACTCTGTTGAAGCGAATTCTTTTTAAATTACGAAAGTACCAAGGGTATTAAATTGAGTGTTTTCTTCTTTTCTGAGGACTTCTTTTACCACCCCAGTAGTAAAATGAGCCTGGACATGTACTGCACACCATTGTTAAATTTCCCCATGTCCAAAACCATGTCACAAGTCACAGGTTTTTCCCGGAAAAAAATTCCCTATTCTGCATCTCCACATGTTGTCTAGGAAAGGGCGAGTTATTCTCTTCTTCCCATCACTGCCAGAATTCTTGGGAGAACATCTGCACTCCCCGCTCCCTTCTCACCCTGTAATGCCCACCACTGTCGCTGTCTTGGAAATCCTCTCTTGAAGGTCATGGATTTCCTTGTCCACCAAAGCAAGTGACCTTTGCTGGGTTCTCATCCTCTCAGCCCTGCATTAACACCCTTTCTGACAGTCCCTCTGGGCGTTTTTGAGTTGAGAAGCCCCAGGTCAAATGAAACATTTCTAACTAAACAAAAAAGTTAAACACTGTCTCTGAATAGGTGACTAGAGTTTTAGGTAGAAATATAGTGAAACATTTTTTATTGAATTTATTGGGGTGACATTGGTTAATTATAAAGGTTTCAGATATATAATTCTATACTAATTTATCTGTATATTGTATTGTGTATTCACCACCTCAAGTCGAGCTTCCTTTTGTCACCGTTTACTACCCCATACCTTCTTCCACCTTCCCCCAAACATTTCTAATTAAACAAGGAAACAAAAATGTTGAACAGCCTGTACTTTGAATAGCTGACTGAGGTTTCGTGTAGAAATTTCACTTTTATTTCATCCTACTACACAGCAATGACTTGACCAAATGTAAGTTTGGCACCAGAGGATCCCCTTAGTAATGAGTGAATCACCTACAGTCCTGTGAAGGCCTAATGAAAAGTTGAGGAAATGGAGAAGCCAAAGAACTTACCCATGGACAGGAACTAAGGAGGGGGGAAGGCTGGAGGGAGGGTGTGCAGGATAGAGGGGATAAAGGGAAGAAAAAAATGGGACAACTGTAATAGCATAATCAATAAAATATACTTAAAAAAATCAAACAGAAGGCCAGAAGAGATTTTGTGCCTCACCTTCCAGGCACTCAGTTAACCTAGAGCTGTTTATCTTGTGTTCCACCTCAGAGTGGGGACTTAAGCTGCTTGTATCTCTGATCTGGACACGTTGCCTGTGGCCAACTTCCTGTTGAAAGCCTCTGCCTTTCCCTGAGGTCATTTTTCAGACCTCACAGTTGTATTGGAAACATAGCAACTGTGCATCAGACTCCATGGTTACACAGGAAACAAGCCCTAAATAATCAGAAGTCTTCAGTGCTGTCCAGTGGCATTTATGCTAGTAACGGATTTTCATTGCTTCCCTTTCAGTGTGTGCAAGTCACAAAGGGGCAGATTTTAGCTACCAGGAAGGGAAGGGATTTGTCAGAATTAAAGTTAGTTAATGATTAGAATGGGCTCTCCAAACAGCAGATACGGGCTGGGAAACACTGAGCTACGGTTTCTGGAGTGCCATTGCAGGACCTTCTGCAGTTGCTTGGATTTCAAGGCCTTGAAGCCGCTGTGAGTTTACTGGGGAGTTAAGTTATCAAATTGCAGTCACCCTCCTGTAGAGAAGCAGGCAGTCTAATCCTAGAAGAGGAAATGGAAGAGATTTAGGCTTTTCCCCAGATACAGGCCTGCTTTACTTGTGGTCTTGAGACATTTTTACTTAGATCTCTGTTTCCAATTCTTTAAGATCAGAATATTATTACTGTACTTCCACAGATGAAATTATTTGTATCTGGTTATGCATTCAACAGGTGTCAATTAAGCACTTACTAAGTTTGAAACATTGTGAAGTACTGTCAGGGAGACAAAACCACTGTAAAGGATGAGTACCTTAGTTACCCCCCAACTTACAGGACAGAAAACTAAGGCTCAGAAGTGCGGAGCACGTCTCCGCAGTTGAGCAGCTGTAGCAAGGGCTGACCTCGATCCACGGCTGTCTGGCCACAGCTCTTAGGCCTGTGTGCTGCCTTATCCCCAGCTTGGGCCGGAGTGTACAGTTCTGTGCTCATCTAGAAATATAAGAGCATGTACTTAGAACCTCTTCTTCCTTTTTTTACTTTACAGACATGTCACGGATCTAAACCACAGGGATTTAATTACCGTTCATCAGCCATTTCTTCTACATTGACAAAATCCATCTCATTAATGACAATCAGCCACCCTGGGTTGGACAGTAAGTATACTACTTTTGTAAAAAATTAAATACACTTTAAATACTTTTTTCTGTCAATTTTCCTGCCTTAAGATCCTGTAGCATTACCTTCAAAAATTTCCTTGCGTTTTCCTGTGAATGAATGGCTCATCATTTAAATAGAAAAGGTAAGATAGAATTCAGATCTGTGGTGTTCCTCCTCTTGCTACCTAAAAATCTCCTTAATGCATTAATACATTTATTATTTTGGGGGGGCCGAAACCTGACATATTTTTTAAGACTTTATTTTGTAATACTGTTAGACTTTAAAATTAGTTGCAAAAACAATACAAAGAATTACCATGCATTCTTCACCTGGAGTCCCCAGATGTAAAGACACATGACGCTCCTCCACCTCAAGGATGCTCTCTTATTTTACCACAGAGCCATTATCCAAATTTTATCCAGTGTTGTTTTTCTGAGCTCTTCAAAAATGTCAGGTTCATGAAGAACAAAGAAAGACTGAAATAGAGTTTTAGTTAAGTGAGTGCCAAGGGGATTACATCGGAAACTGATTAATGCCACTGCATGCAAATTCAGGGTCCACTGGCTAGGAGGTTATAGAGAGATGTCTGGTGGCCATAAACACAGGGCCTTAACAAATGAAAGATGCTCAAAAATATATTTGCATTGGATGCAAATATTTATCACAGAAAGGCAGCTTGCTCTTTGGGGAACCCTACTTTTTTGTATTATTTTTAAAATACTGATTTTTCTTTTTAAATGAGTTGACAGTGTGAGGTCTTGATATAAAGACTTAAATTCTCAACAAAGGCAGAGTGATGCATTACATTCTTTGCTAAAAGAGCAAGAATCTAGGAGGCTGAAGCAGAGGGAATAAACAAACTGCTGTTTCTGGTGCTTCTTCAGCGTCCCCTGACAAAGCCCCTGTGAAAAGGTCAGGGACAGAAGTAGTTGCCCTGTGTTCATGGGATGCTCTGTCTCCAGTCATGACTTCCTGGATTTAATTCCCATGGTGGCGTTAAAGCCTGTTGGCCAATTCTCTTAACTTTGTTCTCCTTTTCATACGATTACTACTTCAAATACAAATCTGGCCTATTTGAGTAAAGGTGCCTAACATCGCTTATTCTCAAAGATACAGGCAATAACCTCACAGAACCGTAACACAAATAGCTTTAATTGCTTTTGTTGGTTTGGGTTTTGTTTTGATTGGGCTTTGGTTTAGAGGTTTTGCTGGTATAGAATGGAAATTATTTTAAGTAAATAGTTGATAGTGGATTTGATGGGCCTGGAGTGCCAAAGACAGACAGGAAAGAGCCCTCTGGTGAGACATGTCAGCCCTCCATACCCTCCTTCCAGGACTAGCCAGTATGGTGGCCTGGTGGAGACCCTGTTCCAGTGGCAGCAAACACCCAGCACCAGCAGACTGTGTCCCAAAGAGAGATCTTTTTCCTATATTTTGACACACGTTCTCTGGCCTTGAGCATGAAATACTTCATTATTTCCCCCTCAAAAAGCAAGATGGTTTTTTACTGTGTTTTCAGTTGCTAGCCAAACACTATAAATAATGTGGCCGACTTCCAAGAAACACTGTCCTTGAGCGCCAGAGGGGCTGGCTCACAGAGCTTTGCCTCCTGTGGCCAGAATGGTCTGTGCTCAGCTTCCTGCGAGAGACTGACAGCTGCCACAGCAGGGCTCTGTCTAAGTAAGCCTTGAGTCCTTCTGTCAAGATAGGGCGTCCTCATCCGAATTTAAAGTGTTCCTTGCCTGCAGGTTGGGAGGGGGGTGGTCAGGAAGTAGTTGGCTCGCCCCACCTCCTTCCCCTAGTCAGCACGTCCTCTAATTGGAGGACAGTCACCTCTAATGACACTGTTTCTCCTGAGTCCCTCCCCTTACACAATTAATTTTCCCAAGTGTATTTTTGTATTTTTGTACCAGAAACATGGTACAAACATTCTTTACAAACAGGTGTAAAAAGCCAGACTGTTGAACTGGAGACTAAAACTGCTGTTCCATGTGCTGTGCTTTTGAGCATCAGCGTAACTGGGTAGATAGTTCTAGATTTGCCACAGACTCAGCCCTCCAGTTCTAGATCGCTTGAGTGCTGCATGGGCCATCTTTGGTCGTGGTCTTCCTAGCTGAAACTGTCCTGATGACTGTGCACACAGAGATTTTACCGCCTAAAGTGCTCGGTACACTTCACATATTTTAACTCGAGTTTTATCTCAAGCCCACTTAGTGCCTTTGGGACCTTGGGCTAGAGACTGAAACACTTTGCCTCAATTATTTGGACTATTAAACAGCGATGATAATGTGATGTGGCTTAAATGTGAATGTATTTAAAGTCCTTAGCGTGTTTCCTGCCTTATAATAAGTACTCATTGTTGTTAGGGAGTGCGTTAGTTCCCATCACCCAAAATAGAGCCCAGGCCTGTTTCTCTGTGCCCAGCTTCAGCAGAAAGAAACGAGGACAGCATCCCTCATGTTCTTTAAATGGCTGTGTCTAATGAACACCAGTGTCTAGGAGCAAAGTGCTTTCTGAAAACAGCGTTCACTGACTACTGTCCATCTTGCTTCTGTGCTCCGTCTTCTTTCTTTTAAAGAAATGAACTGCTCCTCTCACAGTCTTTCACGAGAATGTTTCTGTGAATGTACTGGGCTGCTGTCTGGAATGTCGTGTGTCATTTGCTAGATGAGAAAAACAGACAAACCCCTAGTGCTATTTCTAAGCTGGGATCTGTTGCAAAAATCCATCGATGTGGAGGAAAATACTGAGTAAAGGTGGTGACTCAAAATATTTCTCTGTCATTTTCTGGGGTGTCAGGTAGATTGGCGACAGCTTTCTGAGGGACCACAGCGGGTGGGAAAACTTCCTGACTCACGCCTTGGATTTGCTGTGTTGGTGGGAGGAACGTGGCGGAGCATCTTGCTGGCTCCCGGAGAATCGAGGTAGCCCGGCGCTGCCTGTGTCATGTGGGAAAGACGCCAGGAGGGCCCGCCCTCACCATCCGCTCCCGGAGGTGCGTTTGCATCACTCCTCCTCCCTGCATCAGAGAGGATTGGGTGGAGGCTCCCAGCCTGCCAGGAGACTTACGTGGTTTCCGTTTAGAATTTAAAGAGTCCAGTTCACTTTTGCCATACAGAATAATTCAGTTTTTAAACTTGTCGTTGCTTGCACCCAGAAGGTGCCGACAAACTGTAGAGAAGCTGCTCGATCGGTTCTATCCCTGGAAGAACCCTGGTACATCAGCGGGGATAATGTTACAAGGAGAGTCGTACCCAGGAGATGTTTTACCTTCACAGGCTTCGTGCATGAATTTCTTTTTCCTGTTCATTTTGCTTGGTTGTCACACAGAAGAGTGTTCACCAGGGGCATTTGTCCTTGGGGTCAATTGCATGCCCTCGCTCCACGTGTGGGAGTTGGCCAGGTTCCTTACATGCACCTCGATGGGAGCGCTGGCTTGGGATTGGAAGGTTTCAGTAGACTGTGGCGGTGAAGTCCATCTGGAGAGCCGCTCTGTGCTGTTTACATGGATGACAAGCACCAGGTCTGAAAAGATAAACAATCCACGGGGCCAAAGAGCAGGGTGCACCTCTGGGAAGTCAGGGATCAGTGCTGATGAGGATATTTTATCTCTACTTTCTCTGCTAATTTCCTCTCTGTTTTTAAACTGTGGCCAGTGGGATGAGAATGTATTGGAATACACACATTTTCTTATAGTGCTTCTTGTTGGAAAAGGTGACATGGACAGATATGTCAGGGCATAAACTGAGTCAGGCAGATGGAGTTTTTCCACTGGTCTTTTGGTTGAATTGCAAGGCTTGAATATACACATGGTTATTAAGTATGTGATACATTTCCTATGTTACATACATACACATTTTAATTTGGGGATAAGTAATATCAACATTGAGACCAAAAGAAAATGAGGGATTTGCTCAGGGAATTAGTATGTGGACAGCAGGACTGAGGGCTTCGGGCTTTTTATCTGGGGGCAGTGGAGTGCTGTAAGTTGATTAAATTGATTCATTACTTGAGTGAAACACTTCACACGGACCACTCAGGAGAGTGTGTTGGGTAGGAGAGGTGGGCAGAGAATTGCAGAGCTATTGTGGGATTCAGATGGGAGCATTTGGTGGCCTCAACTGGGGCCTGGAGTAGTGGCCATAGGGAGAAGTTGGTGTTGAGAAATTTCGAGAAGACAAAATCCAAAGGACTGAGTGAGCTGTGATACAAGGACTCCCATTTCTGTTCTGAAAAATGAGTTAGATTTAGTTGCCACTCTGTCGAGTGAAGGGTTATAGGTAGAGGAGCAGGTCTAAAGGAAAGATGAGTTTACTTAGGTACTTGTTCTCTTTGAGCTGCCTGTGGGGTACCCGCCCCCAGGTGAGCAGTGAGGTGAACATGTCGTGAGCTCAAAGGACAGACCTGGCCTGGAGACAGAGGGGATGAGTCACCAGTATGTATTGTGTGCAGACTGCAGTTTAAGAGATGGGAGTGAATGAGGAATTCGGGGTGAGGAGAAAGAGAGCCAGATGCAGTTTCACTTTGCAGGAAAAAAGAAAAAACTCCAGCTATAAATTATAACCATTAAAAATAATTTAGTTCTTGCCTTGGCTGCTGTGGCTCAGTGGATCGAGTGCCAGCCTGCGAACCAAAGGGTCGCTGGTTGGATTCCCAGTCAGGGCACATGCCTGGGTTGCGGGTCAGGTCCCCAGTTGGGGGCATGTGAAAGGCAACCACACATTGGTGTTTCTCTCCCTCTCTTTCCCCCTTACTTTCCCTCTGTCTAAAAATAAAATAAATAAAATCTTTTAAAAAATGCAGTTCTTGTTTCATAATTTAACAAGTTCATATTTGTTGAATGAATTTTTTAAAGCTGTGTTAGAATCCTACATGTTCAGAAATAAAGATGAAAATGTGAATAAGTTGCATTGTTTGTCTAGACAGCCTCTCTGGGAACCATAGGGGCCAGTGACACTGTTCTGTCCCGCTTGGGATGGAGGTGCCTGCTGCGTCGTCCTGGTGTCATCTGTGCCTGTTCTAATGACCCCCGTTAACCCACTTCTCAGCCCTGCCGCCGCCGCCGCCACAGCCTGCCCGGCAGATCTCCTTCTCCGTCAGCATCTCTCCGCTCCTCCTTAAGTCTAAAACTCTCTTTTCTCTGGGCTCTTCTCATTCCAGTGATGAGGAGGAGGAGTTTCAGTGTAAGTAAGCAACCCTGGGATCCAGGGGCTGCTCTCCTGTACCTCACAAGCACTGAGGATGCTCTCGGCTTGGCACTGAGAAGTTGTTTGGGGACTTTTATCCCCCTGCATGCCCTCACGTCTAAACCGTTTTCGTCATGCTTTGCTTTGAAAATTAATGTGGTAAGGCGGTTTTGGTCTTCTGTACACTGCGTACACTGATTAATCCAGTGGCCTGATTCCAGGGCACGAGATTCCGTCCCAGGACACAAATGCCTTCCCAGGCACCGACGGTGTGTTCCTCCTATCCCATCTCGTGCCTTCCGTAATACGGAGTGCTGATTTCACAAAACTTCCCGTTTGATGATGTAATCTTCACTGTTCTTGTTTCTCTTATTTTGTCTCGTGGGACAGATCTCTAGATGCTCACCTGCGCTATTTACCAGCTAATGTTCATTTTTTTTCTTCTCACCTTTTCCTCCTATTTTCTTTCCTTGCAACTTTTTTTTTTAGTTCTTTTTCTACACGGTGGGTTTCAGATGAATATGTCCTTACTTGGTGATACCTAGTTTAAAAACTTTACAAGGTGTCAGTTTTAGTAAACTTGGAAAAGAACGGAATCTCTCCTTTCATGAAAATTAACTGTTTTCAATTGCCCAAGATTTCTACAGCATTCCAGGACTGTTATTTTTAATGGAAAATTATTTCTAATAAAGAGTTAAATGATGAATTGCCTTCATTTCATATAACTAATGAATCCCATGCAGTTATAATATCTACATGATTGAGCACCCTAATTCTCAACTGCTTGCTGACCCTGAGTTTCAGCAATATTTATTTAATCATTTAATATTTAAGCACTATTAAACTCAGGGTGACATTTTTGCATTCTTCTTAAAGTACCTTATACACAGTAACACAAAGTGTAGTTAATTTTCTTTTAGTGCAGGCCTTACATGTTCAGTTCTTTTTCACAATTAAAAGAGATTTGGTAAATAGGCACACAGTAAGATACCATTTTTTACCAGTTATAGTAGAGGGAAATTGTGAGAATCCACTTACAACTTTGAGGGTTCAGAAATTCTCGAGGCTGTTTCATCTCAGCGTATTGATGACACTGTGGAGAATAGGTCAAGCAGCCGAAAAAAACCAAAGGTCCCAGCAGATTCTGTCTACCTCTAATAGAAAATTATGGTGGACTCGTCTAAGTGCAGGGGCTTGAAGAAACCTTTGAATCATATACCACCTTCCTCAAAATGTGTTCCTTGAACTCAGAAATGCCAGTGAGAACTGGAGTCGGGAAGCAGAGGAAGAAACAGAAGAGGTGGTTTTATGGCCACGTAAATTTAGGAAACTCGGGTTGGAGCAGTTTCAAATGGGGATGTGGTCATTGTGAATTTGCAGGGCAGTGTCCACTGTGCTGTGTTCACAGACTTATGAACAGGTGCGCTTTGATGGCAGGTGTTTTAGCTTCTGCGAGTACTTCATCATGGAAGTCACATTGGCTCTTCCATTCCCTTTCAGGGGTGTCAGACTCACTTTCACCGGGGGCCACATCAGCCTCAAGGGTGCCTTCAGAGGGCTGAATGTGATTTTAGGACTGTGTAAGTGTAACTTACTCCTTAACAGTTAAGTGAGAGCTCGGCACCTGGCGCCGGGTAGAAACAAGGTGCTGGGCCGGATAAAACCAGGTGGAGGGCCGGATTCGGCCTGAGGGCCTAGTGTTTGCTGCCTGTGCCTTAGACGCTCTGAAAACCTGACCACACTAGGCATTTGAGAGCCACGGTGGACTAATGAGTTTTCAGAACCACATCCAAAAGATCATAGTAAATAAAATAAAAAATTTTCAGCAATGACAAAGTTGGAAACTGTTACAGGAGCCATAGTTTCTCCCAGTGTTCAGTTATGTACTGTTTTTACAGTTTTTCATTTATTCACCCCAAATTTACTGTAAGCCTGTCTTTGGTGAGGCGCTGTGCTGGTTGGTTTTTTTATGAATTTCATTTTCAGTTCATATCACCTACTGTGGTAACTTACCAGGTAATTGCTTAAGTGTGTGGCAGAGGCCTGGCAGCCTGAGAAAGCTTAACGCTGCTTGTAACATTCAAGGCTCTGTTGGGTGGAAAAAGTTTTAAAGCCGCTGATCTAAACCATACTTTGGGTTTGCTTTTTTTGTTGTTGGTTTGTTTTATTTAAGCTAAGGCCTCCTGAGGTTTTAAAATGCTGATGATGTCACACCTTGATGGTGCCAAACTGTGGGGCAGATCCTAGATCTTATTCTTAATGGGCTCATCTGCCCCTCTCACCTGGCTGTTACCATGCACGATCAGTGAAATAGAAGAAGAATCTTAAGTAGGTAAAAGACAAACCATATAGAAAGCAGACTTAAGAGTTTAAGCCTCCTATGCATTATTCCCACCTGTTAGCTATTTACTTAGTAATAACTACAGTTTTGCATTTCTGTTCAGGATCTAGAATGATTTGGGAGCTGAAGTATTAAAAAGAGTGGTATTCCTTGTGTTCCTTCTACTTAGTATTGCCCTGCTGTCTGACTTGGCCTTAGTTTTAATGACCCGCGTCAGTTTATGGCCTGGTGGTTGTGGGAGTGGGGAGAATGGACCTGCGCCCCACCTCCCCTCTCACAGAGGAGACGAAATCCGCACCCCAGATTGAGTGGCATGCCCTGGGCCACATAAGTGGCTCAGACTCTCCTTCCTGTTCCTGGACCCTCTTCCAGGAACGTTCAGGAGCATACCAGGTACGCGTTAGCCAGATTGTTTCAGAGTAGAAAGAACTACCTGAGAGTGAAATTATTAACAGGATGGGATATTGCATGTCCCATTTTGTATTCTTCCTGTGACATCATCTGAGAACGATGGCCTGTGGGAACTGAACATTTGATAAGAACAAGAATTAAACTTAGTTTGAACATTAGGAAAAAGTTTTGATTTGGGGTTTGTTAAGTTACTCGAATCCTGGATTAAACTTCTTTACTGGGAAATTCACTCCCTGTCCCAGTTCTAATTTGAGGGTTTCAGGTTTATTTTTCTTCCATTAAATCCTTAGGAGGAGAAGGCACCATGCATGGACTTTCAAATGCTGTCTCTGCTCTATCTGTGTCATTGTGAACATTTTAGACGTTTTCTCTGTCCTTCGGGTACAGTCCTTTGGTTCTGACATTTCTCTGCTGTTTCTGTTTTCCAGATTCCCGGCCTTTCCACAGCACCAGTGCTAACCTGACAGAGAGGTACCAGATCTTTATTTGTTACTCTTTCTCGAAGGGAAATGAAGGAAATCCAGAATATATTATGACATTTCACTAAGGAAACTACATTTGTGGTATTCATTGGATTCCCAGTTTCTTGAGTTATAAACCTGGAATGAAGGTTAGAAGTGGTTCTAAATGTCTTCAGTACTTTTCCGCTGTTACTCTTTTGAATGAGGAAGGTTATTGTATGCATTTATTTGTATAAGAAACACTCCTGTTTGACTTGATGAACATTTGTACTCTCTGCTTATGGGGGTTTTTAATTTGTAAGTCTACCAACAGTTTGTTTGGGGGGGCGTATACAGTAGTTCCCCCGTCCTCTGGGGCTGTACTCTAAAACTCTCAGTGAGTGCCTGAAACCGTGGAGGGTACCGACCTCTGTACATACTGTATTTTATCTACACATACAAATAATAAAGTTTAATTTATAAAGTGTGCACACTAAGAGATTCACAATAAGTAATAAAATTGTGTAGTTATAACAACAGATTGTAAGGAAAGTTACATGAATAAGGACTTTCTCAGAGTCTCTAAAACGTACTGGACTCCCCCTTTTTATGCCAGTGTGGGGTGATGCAGTGCCTTTGGAGACAGAGCATGGGTGTCTGAGAACACGTGCTGTTCTCAGATGATGCTGCGGCAAACCCTTCAGCGGCCACTGTCCATCTCTTATTCTGCCTCCCGTTTTCAGTGAGGCTATTAGGTGACTGACTTGTAGGAAAAATAATATGTTGATGAAAATGGTTGCGCAGAATTTTGTGGAAGACGTTTTAATTTTTAAAAAATAACTTCTGTAGTGTTTTTTTTTAAGTCAGTCTTTTTGTTTTTATGTAGCATAACAGAAGAGAACTACAATTTCCTGCCCCAGAGCCCCTCCAAGAAGGATTTTGAAGGGAAGAGCGGCACGAAAGTCAGCCGCACGTTCAGCTACATCAAGAATAAAATGTCCAGCAGTAAAAAGAGCAAAGTGAGTACTGTCATGGGCATTCCTTGTGTGACCCCTCAGTCAGTCACCCGAAGGCTCCTTGTCACTGTCACGGCCTGCCCACACCCGAGAACTAATGCAGGCTGAGGGTGCATGGGAGTAAATTCAGAGAAACACTCTGAGGTAGCGTATTAATGGAAGAAAAATATGAGCAAGAAAAATAACAAGAGGCAATACCACTAACTTGAGTTTTCATCACATGTAAGACATTTTCACACGTTATCTTACATGTCTTGCTTCTGTGGGACTGAGAACAGGGGGTCTGGGTGCATGTGTGGCCCCAGTGTGGAACCAGAGGTCCAGGTGCCGGAATCGGTCATCAGGTTTGCAGTGCAGCTGCAGGGGGTTATGCCAAAATCCGGGGATGGAAACTATTTCCATTTGGGTTTAGAGGTCAGAAAGATGGTCCCACAGAAAATAACAAGAACTTTTAAGACAAATATGAATTCTTCAATCTTTTCCTAACTAGGAGCTTGCTGTAGCACTTCTTCTGTAGTTCCTGAGGTTCAAATGACATGTGTACACATTTTTTAAAGATTTTATTTATTTATCTTTAGAGGGGAAGGATAGAAGAGAAATACCAATGTATGGTTGCCTCTCCTGCGCCCCCTGCTGGGAACTGGCCTACAACCCAGGCATGTGCCCTGACTGGGAATTGAACAGCAATCCTTTGGTTCACAGGCCCACACTCAATCCACTGAACTACACCAGCCAGGGTTACATTTTTTTATACTTATTAATTTTTCAATGCTTATTATAAGAATAATTAAAACATAAAAATAAAATAAGAATCACTTGTAATAACCTCACATTGAGATAACTGCTCTTTTAATTTTTTAAACTGGTTTTTTTTTCCTTATTTGTTTATTTATTTATTTTTAGAGAGAGGGGAAGGGAGGGAGAAAAAGAGGAAGAGAAACGTTAGTGTGTGGTTGCCTCTCACGCACCTGTTACTGGGAGTACAACCTGAGCTGCAACCCAGGCATGTGCCCTGACTAGGAATCCAACCAGTGACCCTTTGGTTTGCAGGCCAGTGCTCAATCCACTGAGCCACACCAGCCAGGGTGACTTTTAAACTGTATTTCAAAGAGAAAGAAAGAAAAGGAGATAACATATTGATTCCCAGTGCTGGGGAAAAACTTTCAGCCTCCCACTGCTTTGGCCCTGTATTTATCCCTCAGGCCAGCCTCTAACAAAATAAGAAAAAAGTGGAAAGTACTGGAAATCAGTTAAGGAACTCCTGCCAAGGAACCACTGTGTACACGTCATGTGTGTCGGGGGGGTGCACATACACAGGTGCACAGAGACACACTCAGAAGTAGGGGAGTAAACGCTCAAGGGTCCTGCTGTAAATGTGCACCTCCCCACACTCTGTCCCTCCCACCCCGCCCCTAAAACAAAACCATGGGCTTCTTAGGCCCACAGTTAAGTGGGGTGGTCGAAATACAGCCAGTGTATTTTCCTGGGTTTTGCAAATAGGATCTCTTTTAGAAAACACTAGGTTTGCTTAACAGTCAAAGGAGTTTTTCCATACAACTTGCCACCAGTTGGTTTCTCTCGTCATTTCTGTGGTTCAAGTGCAGGGTGGACAGAAATGGGGCAATCAGAAAATTAGAAGACAATGCAGAGAATCTAGCAAGTGGTGTCTAGAATAACTACATATAAGTGTTAACTTCATAGCCTTGTTTTATAAGTCAAAAATAAGGTTAAAGAGGGCAGAATGCTTAGTGGTATTCCACATATGGGCTAGGCTTAAAACAGAGTCCTGTGTATTTTACTTATCACTGCTGGCTCAGATGCTGGTTGGCACTGGCAAAAGAAAGTCTCCTTGGAAAGGTCGCTATAAATCGGCCAAATGTTAGAGTGACTTCTGTAGTCTCAGTGTTGTGCCAGGTGCTAATACACAGTCCCTCGAAAAATTGTATGATCTGTTTCTTACGATTTCGAAATGTTTTTAAACCGGAATTATCTCCTTCAAACAAATGGATAATTGGGAGATCAGTAACTAAGTGGAAGTTGCCCTCCCTGTCAGCTCCGCAGTGACCCTGACTTCCAGGCCCAGCGGTGAGTTCACCAGCCATGGCATTGCTGAGGGAACACAGACAGACATGAGCAGGATGATGTAAGCGTGAACTTAGGTCCTGGAAACCGACCTTTAAAAGTCGTCCTGGCCTCCCTACTGTAGGGCCTGCAGCAAAGAACAGCTTGCCGCAGGGCACAGAGCTAGGTAGCATTAAGGCAGAGCCTCATGTGGTCTCACTTCCAGCAGGTAGTAGTCTTCCCTGCTCCCCCTTAAACAAAATCTGCTCCTGAAAGTATCTTTTCCTTTGTGACTCTTTTAATAAGCAAAGGACTGTCATTTTGCCTTTGGGAGGGTGAAGAGAAAGGGCAAGAGAAAAGAAGGTAATTTATGTGAGAGGGAGGTCTGTCATCACTGGCAAAAGCAGTATCGGCTGACCTCTTATCAGAACGACAACATTCTTTTGCAATGAGATGGTTCCTCTTTCCCTCTCGGCTTCACGATTTGACCTTTGGGGGCTGGTGCTATCTCTAGCAATGGAAACTCAAAAAAAAAGGACAAGCCTCAAAGCCTAGATTGCAATCTGGTGCATGTTGTCAGGTGTATGGAGTACCCCAGTGACCAAATATATTAAGATGTTTAAGAGTCACCTTTCATAATTGTTACTAGCTACCTTTAAATATCATTTTTTTTAGAACTAACAGCAGAATAGCTTGGCTTCTGCCAATGTACCAAAAGATAGTAAGAAATACAGGAAACACTGAAGTGGCACGTTTTTAAATACGGTGAATGCCCTGTGTTTATGTGCCACTGTGCCGTCCAGTGTGTTGCCTCCTTCTCTGAATGATGGCACAGATGAGTGTTTCTTGGTGAGACCACACTAACTCTGCGGACTTCACAGCTACTGAATGTTTCTTCTCGATAATGTTAAAAATTGGGAATGCTTATTTTGTAAAAACGATATACTTTTGGCTTTTAAATTATTTTTTAAAGAAATGCTATTAGATCTCATCTAATCTGCTTTTATTCATTTATTATACAGTGTAATCATTCCTACTTTTTTCTTAAAGGAAAAGTTTCAGCATTTACTGCAGATTATATTAAATCACCACCTCTAATTCTTAAAGTCTTTCAGAATGATTTGGAAATTTCTACTTTCCTTACAATTAAGCATGTCACACACAATAAAGTAATTTGTAGTTATTAACTGAGATACAATCGGCACGTTAATTGTTATGTTAATTTATAGTAGGTGATAATAAACTGTTGTTAAATTATATTCAGAGGAGCCCAAAGCCAGCCACAAGGTGGCAAATGGTTCATCTTCCTGGATAATCCAGTTTGTCTGTGTAGGATTGTGAGAAATTGAGACTAATCCTTCACACGTCCTTTTAAGAATTAACCAATAACTGGCATGAGTGAATAGATAAATATGCTGGGTGTGTTTTTGACATGGAGAGCCTAAACAGGAAGTATGACAGGAAGATTGACAGTTTCTGCTTTTGTCCAGTTTTGCACCTTTGAGAGAGAGGATTGTTTCCTGCTGAGTGAGTTTGCTTGCCGCAGAGTTCAAACAGCAGTAAGCATGGTGTTCTTCTGCGTGGGGAGAGTGGAGGGGCCCTCTTTAAAGCCGGCTGGCACACTGATTTCCTGCTTCCTTTTTCTTTTTCCTAGACTCTCCCTTGTGCATACAACTAGGAGATGGTTAGAGATATTTTAGCAAGTTCTTAACCTCACGCATTCCTTCTTTGATTAGAATTCTGCAGCATGACAGTTGCATAATCACAGCGTGTTTCACATTTTAATTGCTTGTCTAAATTGGTAGATTTTAGAAGGATGAAAAATTATTTTTCTTCATAGCATCCTAGTGTAGTTGTTGTCTGCATCTTCCCCTTTAAACACTTCTAGCTTCCATTTCCCAGCACACGGGGAAAGTTTTTTGTCATGTTAACATGGCAAAAGCTTTTTGTCAGTTGTTAAACAGGGAAAAGTCAAATTTCAGGAAACAGCCCATCATGACTTACCACAGGCAACTTCACTGAAAAGTTTTTTAGGAAATATACTGCTTTTTCTACAATGAGGTGTTTTTTTAAAAATAGGTGAGATGTGTTCCCTCGCTTCCAGTGTTTAAAAAGTGGCTTCAGTCCTCACCAGAGTTTCCATCTTGCAACTTCAGCACCATGCACACATGTTGGGGAATTAGTTTTGTTTCATTTCCCGTGTCCTCTGTAACTCGGGTAGCTGGCTTCACTGGCAGCATTCGAATAGTTGAGCTCGTGTTGAGGAAATAAGCAGCCTCAGCCCTCCTCCCTCCTTTCCTTTCTCAACCAGTCTCCGGCTTCCTCTGACGGCTTCTCTAAGGGTTCTCTAATGGCAGTGCCAAGCTGCCGGGCTCTGCCCTGCTGGCATGAGCCCCTCCTTCTGTGAGAGCACACTTCCTGGCATGGGGGTCAGTCATGTCGGTAAAATGGGGTCGGTTTCATGAAGTGCCCCTCATAACAGTGCGATTCATAGGACCAAAACATGATGAGGTAAGAGCTCGGCTTCTTTAAAGCGCTGAATTCTAATAGAGAGAGAGAGAGAGACAGTGGAGCTTACTGTTCTGTTTAGTTTTTATTCTCGGAAGGACTGTGTCGGGTTGTTGCAGAGGAGATAGTATTTATTGTGCATTCAGACTTGAAGATCGTTGTGAGCTTTGAGAGAAGGAGTTGCCGTGGATTGGTTTTGCCTGTGGAGCATGCAGGAGCTTTCTTGAGCAAAAAGTCAGACCCTTTTCAGTTGAACATCTTACAGATGGAAAAGCCTTCAACAAAGTTTAGTTAAAAGAAAGAAGTTACTTGAAAAACTCAATTTTTGTTGTTGATTTCTATTAGAGTTTTATGTACTTCAGCGGTTACTAATTTCCACTGAGAACAGCTTCCTGTTTTGTAAAGAGAAGTACATTAGTTTTTCTCCCTTCCTCTCTTGTTACTTTTTTATACTTCTAAAGTGTATCAATTCAGTGCTTAGATTTTCATGCACCTTCTACTAGGAAGAACTTTACGTGAATCATAGACTTAGCAAACATTTGCCCTTTCAGTTATGAGTAGGAAGTCAGAAGAGCTAGGATCTGCTCATCATTTGCTGTTTGACCTTTCCTGAGTCAACAAACCTCTCCAGTTCTTGGCAGTAGAACGACATGAAGGGGAGCCAAGCTGTAGAGTTGGCCACCCTGGATCTTAATTCCAGCTCAGGCAGTTACTGGTGTGTGGCCTTGAGTGTCGTATTAGACATCTCTAAGCCTCAAACTCCTCAGATGTAAAGCAGAGATAAGAACCAGTACTCACTACTTCATGGGGTTGTTACAAGAAAACACATGTGAGTTGCTTATGACGGTGCTTGGCACATGGTAACTATTCCAAAAAATTTAGCTGTTATTATTTTTATCTTCTCAGCTATAAAATGGGAACTTAATGCCTACCTTACTACTTCAGAGTTGTTGGATCAGGTGAAATAATGCATGTACAAGGCATTGATTCAGAATGTAAGGCAATTAGTAGTTGTTATTATCACTGACTCTGGGGCACTCGTTTTCCAGGAAGTTTTAGAGTGCCACAGTGGTATCATATTCCCTAGAAAATGGATGCCCCACTGTTAGTGATTATGACAATGCTAAATGCATTCTGTAAATTGTAGCTGGTGGTCCATTGGTTTGAAAGGAAGTCATTCCATTGATGTTGATTAACCAGCCAAATGCTGTGCCGATCAGTGCTTAGAAAGAGCCACTCGTGGCAAGCACGGTGACACCCCACAATCCCAGCCTTCCTTCAGTGTGCCCCTGAAATGCCCCTGATTGCCTTAGATGTTTGGTTAGGATCTAGCACTCAGCAATATTTATTTATTTTTCAGAGTTTAAATTTCTCCTCCCATTTGGAAAATGGGGCCAAAGTTAACATCCGTGAACCTTGCAATTCCAGTTAGTAGCAACCGAGCTTGTATATGTGGGGGGCACTTAACATTTCTGGCCAGAGTAAGGGTGGAAACCTCAGAGGCCTGCCCTCACTTGAGATTCGTGATCGGTGTGATTTTTTTTTTCCTGCTGCTCAATCATCTTTCCTCTTGCTCAGGCCTCTCCCAGAATTGCTGCCGGCCCTTCCTCTGCCCCTGCCTGCAGCTAGCCCTGAGCTCCTTGCCCATTTGCCATGTGGGCTGGGCTTTGTCTTAATAAGGAGGATTCTTGGCCGCTCCCGACACATCCTACGCTAACCTGAGAAGCCTCCTTCTGGTGTCTAGTGCAGCAGTCTTCCTAACTTTTGTTCACATGCCGCCTGGGTTGCACAGGGCAAGGGAAGGCCTGCTGGTGTTCATTGAATTGTTGGTTGTTTTCTTTGGCAGGAAAAGGAAAAAGAGAAAGATAAAATTAAGGAGAAGGAGAAAGATTCTAAAGAGAAGGAGAAGGACAAGAAGAACCTCAACGGCCACTCTTTCAGCTCCATGCCTGTCGTGGGCCCGATCGGCTGCAGCCAGTGTACGAAGCCTTTCACCAACAGAGATGCCTACGCTTGTGCAAGTAAGAGCCGTGCTGCTTCCTCTCTCCGCTCAGGGACGCTCATTTCTCGTTTCCTGTCCATCCCGCCCCCTTATCTCTTCCTCGTTTGGGGGGAGAAGCAGTCTTTTTTATATCTTTCCGTAGACACCATTGAGGAAGAACATTCTGGTTGTAGAGTGTGGAGCCTGTGTCTTTTCAGAGAGCCCCGATTTCAGACATTCTGCTGGTTGTCCCTAAGCCTGTTCCAGAAGTCTGTGTCCATATCAAAACCACCTCTGGGGCACAAACCTTGCAGCCCCCCAGCAGGCCCGTGTCAGGTCATGTGCGCTCACTTTTCTTTCTGGCACTTGGGTGTGTGCTTCAGGATCAGGTCATGCAGCCCGCCAGGTGGGAGTACTGTCGGACACAGGGGTGTTCCGTGTTGAACGGTCGCTGACCCACTGAGACCATCTGAAAGCCGAGTCTGTTAGCTGAGTGTGGTTCCTGGCTTTGATAAGATGCCACTCTAAGACAGAGGTCAGCGGACTGTTCCTGTCAACGACCAGATAGCAGATGTCTTAGACTTTGTGGCCAGCAGGACTGAACTCTACTGGGTCAGTGTGAAAGCAGCCAGAGGCAGGACGTAAACCAACAAGTGAGACTGTTCCAGTGAAACTTTCGGACAGCGAAATTTGCACTCCATGTCATTTTCAGGTGTCATGGCCTCTTAAAAATTAAAAAATATTTTCAACCATTTAAAAATATGGGTAGCTCATGCCCCATATGAAAATAGGCATAGGCCAGCTTTGACCGCCCCCCCCAGCACTGATTTGCAGACACCTGTTCCAAGGCAGAACATCTAGAAATTTTGCCGCACAGATAGAAAGTGACCATCCTTCTCACACACACCAGGGCAGATGGAGGAGGCTCCTGTGGTCAGACGTGTGCAGAGTCTGCGGATCAGCCCGCCAGGCCCGGCCCAGTCGCCCCCAGGGCTGTGGCCCTGAGCATCACCTTATGCCTGTACCCACTGCAGACTGATCAGTGCGTGATTCAGGCTCCAAGGAGCACTTTGCAGACCGTGGTGTCATGACCTCATCTCCCATTCAGTCCTTCTTTATGGAGTATCCCAGTGATCTGTCACTAAAAATAGTTCCCTTTTTGGAATTGAAAATTCTTACAAGTTTATTTGAGTAGATTGGAAGTTACTACAACAATAATTTGCAGTCTCCGCGCTCTTGTCTAGAAGATGAGAGTGAAGTTACAGCTGCTACGTAGCCTGCAGCCTGTCTTACCTGTGCTACAGCTGTTGGGACTTTCTACAGGATGGGCCTCGTCGCCCATATTCCTGTAGAACGACTTTTGTGGACATATTATACCCCAGATGTTGTCTGCAGCCCTCTTTGTTTTACTGTCCTACTTCAAAAAACAAAAACCTCTGGAGGACTGTCATCTAAATCGTAACGCATCCGTGTGGGCAGGTGTCACGCACGCTCGTCCTCCTTCACGCGTAACTCTCCAGCAAGCTGAGAACTCCAGCGCAGTAAGTTTTATGTGTCCTCCAGGGAACAAGAGACTGTCACTGTCCAGTGTACCCCAGTGTATTTGTTGTGGAGCCCCAGTTCTGATAGGACCATGCCTAGCACACCCGTTGAACGTCTCCAGGATAATTTCTTAGCAGCTGGACACAGCCCACCTCTCGGTGGTGGGATAACTTGGTTGCCTACCATAGTCTCAGCAAGCACTTGTCTGCTTGTTTGTTTGCCAGTAACATATGTTTAGCCTTCTTACACAGGGTTTATATATTTAACATAAAAATTACATAGGTGCCCTGTGCAGTACTGACAGAGAGCTCATTCTGGGACCGAGAGAAGTCAGATTTGCCATTTTCTTGTTCTCTGGTTAGTTATTAATATTGTTATTTATGCTTACTGTCTTAGAGTCATAGTTTCTTTGCAGGACTTGGTGTCAGTCTTCTTTTCTCCAGAAACTCGCATGTCACATGTGAAGTGAAGCTGCCTCACACACAGGCTGAGGGCGGCCCAGCATATCCATCTATACATTTACTTCATTTCTCTTTTCAGTCAGTGTGAATGAGAGCTGGAAAAATTTCCTCCTGTCTTCCAGAGAATCACTTTGTGAATCCCTCCTGCCAAGTGCCTGTTCTCCATGGGTGGAGCTCTGGTCTGGGAGAAAGGAGAAAAACAGGGTGGGCTGTGTTTCTCGATTGGCACTATGAACTTGATAGTCAAGGAACCTCATTGGTAAAGCAGACTGAACACCTGCTTTCTGCTATAAAACAGAAAAAAGTTTGATAAAATATATTCTTAAAAAAAAAAACTAATAACAAACTGAGCCCGCAGAAAGGAAAGTACCTGAGGGAAGTCAGAGTCACCGCAATAAAGAGTACCCCTTCACTTGGGGACAGGATGTGTGGCTTCAGGTCACACAGTGAGCACTGGAACCGAGCCCCTGAATAAACCAAAAGTTTCAAAGACTCACATTCATGCTGAAGGGCCTAGAACAACTCAGCCCCCCCAGCTGTTCAGAAGCAGCAAGGCACAGGACCCTGAGTGAGAATTCTGCACCACCCACGAAATCTGGGGTTAAAACATACACCCTCCATTTGTGCTGGAACCCCAAGCTCAGAAATCTCACCGGGGGTTTCGTGGGATCCGGGTCCAGGATTGGAGAGACGCTGCGGGATCCCAGCTGCCGCAGACACAGGACCGCACCATGGGGTCACTTGGGCAAAACAGGGTGTCGGGGGCTCCCGTGGGAGGGAAAGAGCCCCGGAAAGCTGGAGCTGGGCTTACGATAAAAACTGCATAGGCAACACACACAGAGGTAAACCACCGTGTGGAAGAGTTAGCAGGACCCAAGCAAGAGATGTTGAGAATTATTAAAAGGTAAAATGAATAGAATCCTCAGTGAAAGATCAGGGCATTATACAACTAAGGTGTAGATTTAAACAGGAACTGAATAAAACTTGAGGAATAAAAGCAAGTCCTTGAAGGAGCCACATGGAGATCTCTCACGTATTTCAGTGTCTGCTTCATCAGTGGGTGGTTGTGATTTATGTTCTTGTAGAAAAGAAGGAAATGGCTTTTCATGTGTCACATGGGTTAGTTAGGGGAGAGCTGGGCGCATAACCCAGAGAACCCTGATGACTTCAGACAGGGTTTATATTTTTACACTTAATTATCAATAATTAGGCCCTTGAGGGTTTTTTTTATTGTAAATGAAGTTACTCAGTAAAGATCAGTTTCCTGAACTCTTCAAGGTACTGTGGTTGGTATTGTGATTCATTCAAAAGTGGTCTGTTAGCAGATATTTACTGAGTGGCAGTGTATGCCAGCCACCTTTCATTCCTTTTTGAGGGCAGGTGACATATAGCATTGTGTAAATTGAAGGCATACAACATATCAATTTGATACATTTATACCAGGTAATCTGATGGCCACTGCAGCTGTGTTCAGCACCCCTCTCACATCCCGTGATTATCCTTTCTTTTTAGTGGTTGGAATAATTAGAGGCTCCTTCTTCAGGTTGCTTACACAGCGGCTTATAAAAAAGAGGTCCCAACGTATAATCCTTGGTACTTGCTCATTGCAGCATTATTCATCGTGGGGAAAAATATGACCTACTCATTAGGTCATATTCATTAGGTCAGGTGGAATACTGGGCTGGCTCTGAGGCACACAGGATGGATCAGGAGTTGGCAGACGTTCTTGTGAAGGAGCCGACAGCAGAGTGTTGGGCTTGTGGCGGGAAAGCAGCCACAGGCGAGACAAGAAGCGAAAGTGGCTGTGCTCACAAGTGGAGGTGAGCTGGACGTGGCCCGCAGACCGGACCCTGCCAGCCACTGAAGTCGGATCTGTAGATGCAAACAGGTGTCCTAGACAAGCGGGTGAGTGGGAAAGGCCATCAATACTGTATGTGTTCCACTTTGTAGAAAACAAGTAAACGGTATTCGTTTGTGTAAATATACAAGACTGTCTAAAAGGATGTATACCAAACTGTTAACACTTTGAAGAAGCAGATTAGGAGAGCAGAGATTGAAGGAGACCAAGTTTTCATTTTAGACTTTGGGGTCATTTGGATTGACACGGTCCTTATATGTTGTTGATATGAGTAAAAACGAGTGCAAGCCTTGGCTCACGGATAGTTTCCAAAGTTTTTCTGCTGGTCTCTCTGACTCTGGAACTTAGTGGACAAGGAGCAGAATTGTCCCTGGAAAGGAGTCAGCCTGGCAGAGCAGTGAGGAGGGTTTGCTGTGTGGCTGTCACTGTCACTGACCGCTCCTCCCGAGCAAGAAGCAGTGGAGCCGATTCTGCTGACTCTGGGTCCTGATGTGTCAGAGAAGGTTCAGGGACGAGAGAGGTGGAAAGCCTGCCTGGAAGACCTAGAGAATGGTTTTCTTTGTGCTGTCGAGAGCAGTGGGTGTGTGGGTGTACAAACCATTCATTGGTTTATGGTTATAGTGAGTGGACGACTCTCCCCGTGACGAGCTCCAGACAACTTTTCAATTTAAATTTGGGTTGGAAAGAGTTTTTATGCTAGTGTGTTTCGCCTTAGACTGGCCATCGGTTTTTCTGTATTTGTTTTTTCTAGGTTAAAATGGTTGAATTCTATTCCTTGGCCATATTAGGTGTTAGTCCAATTAATGACTCAGAATTAAACCTGCAGCTGGCATGGGGTTGCTTTGTGAGACAACAAAACTGCACTGTAGTTCAGGGGAGTAGCATTCGGGTGTGCGTAGGACAGTGTGCTCAGCCTGCCACTTACAAAGAGAAGAGGGGAGATATCAAGGCTTAGGAGAGGAAGAATGTATAGTCATCTTCCCAAAGAAGCCAAAGTACTAAAGTAATTGGCTAATTCTCGCCAGCTTCCTGAAGAACAGAGCCTGCAGTGAGTATTTGTGTGCATGAAGCGCCATCTGTTATCTTGGCCGGAAGTGGAAAATATGAGTAATTGGAGGACTCAGAGTCTTTTTCCCTTCCCTCCATCCCCCGTAGTGTCCAGGATCTTCCCAGGAGTCT